AAATATTACGTCGTCAATTTGAGGTGAAATAGGTCAAAAATATGAATTTTACCCAATAATGTCACAATTTTGGCGAAAATTTAGCAAATTTTGCCGGTCTGAATATTAAATCATGCTCCCAAAGCATCTTTAAGCATTCCTGAGTATTTTGGAGAAAATTCATTTTTTGGCCAAAATCGAAAAAAAAGTAAGGCTAACCCCTTACATTTTTTTCAAATTTGGCCAAAAAATGAAATTTCTTGTAACTTGCTAGGAAGATACCTCAGAGTCCCTAGAACACGTTTCCACTCCCACATTGGACAGATAGGCCTTTAAAAAGGAAATATGACGTCGTCAATTTGAGGTGAAATAGGTCCAAAATATGAATTTTTACCCAGTAATGTCACAATTTTGGCCAAAATGTAGCAAATTTTGCCGGTCTGAATATTAAATCATGGTTCCAGAGCATCCTTAAGCATTGCTGAGTAATTCGGAGAAAATTCATTTTTTGGCCAAAATCAAAAAAAAGTAAGTCTAACCCCTTACATTTTTTTCAAATTTGGCAAAAAAATGAAATTTCTTGAAACTCTCTAGGAAGATGCCTCAGGGTCCCTAGAACACGTTTCCACTCCTACATTGGACAGAAAGGCCTTTAAAAAGGAAATATTACGTCGTCAATTTGAGGTGAAATAGGTCAAATATATGAATTTTTACCCAGTAATGTCACAATTTTGGCCAAAATTTAGCAAATTTTGCCGGTCTGAATATTAAATCATGCTCCCAAAGCATCTTTAAGCATTCCTGAGTATTTTGGAGAAAATTCATTTTTTTGGCAAAAATCGAAAAAAAAGTAAGGCTAACCCCTTACATTTTTTTCAAATTTGGCCAAAAAATGAAATTTCTTGTAACTTGCTAGGAAGATACCTCAGAGTCCCTAAAACACGTTTCCACTCCCACATTGGACAGATAGGCCTTTAAAAAGGAAATATTACGTCCTCAATTTGAGGTGAAATAGGTCAAAAATATGAATTTTTACCCAGTAATGTCACAATTTTGGCCAAAATTTAGCAAATTTTGCCGGTCTGAATATTAAATCATGGTCCAAGAGCATCCTTAAGCATTGCTGAGTAATTTGGAAAAAATTCATTTTTTGGCCAAAATCGAAAAAAAAAGTAAGGCTAACCCCTTATATTTTTTTCAAATATGGCCAAAAAATGAAATTTCTTGAAACTCTTTAGGAAGATGCCTCAGCGTCCCTAGAACACGTTTCCACTCCTACATTGGACAGATAGGCGTTTAAAAAGGAAATATTACGTCGACAATTTGAGGTAAAATATGTCAAATATATGAATTTTTACCCAATAATGTCACAATTTTGGCCAAAATTTAGCAAATTTCGCCGGTCTGAATATTAAATCATGCTCCCAAAGCATCCTTAAGCATTGCTGAGTAATTTGGAGAAAATTCATTTTTTGGCCAAAATCGAGAAAAAAAGTAAGGCTAACCCCTTACATTTTTTTCAAATTTGGCCAAAAAATGAAATTTCTTGAAACTCTTTAGGAAGATGCCTCAGCGTCCCTAGAACACGTTTCCACTCCTACATTGGACAGATAGGCCTTTAAAAAGGAAATATTACGTCGTCGATTTGAGGTGAAATAGGTCAAATATATGAATTTTTACCCAGTAATGTCACAATTTTGGCCAAAATTTAGCAAATTTCGCCGGTCTGAATATTAAATCATGCTCCCAAAGCATCTTTAAGCATTGCTGAGTATTTTGGAGAAAATTCATTTTTTGGCCAAAATCGAGAAGAAAAGTAAGGCTAACCCCCTATATTGTTTTGAAATTTGGCCAAAAAATGAAATTTCTTGTAACTTGCTAGGAAGATACCTCAGGGTCACTAGAACACGTTTCCACTCCCACATTGGACAGATAGGCCTTTAAAAAGGAAATATTACGTCCTCAATTTGCGGTGAAATAGGTCAAAAATATGAATTTTTACCCAGTAATGTCACAATTTTGGCCAATATTTAGCAAATTTTGCCGGTCTGAATATTAAATCATAGTTCCAGAGCATCCTTAAGCATTGCTGAGTAATTCGGAGAAAATTCATTTTTTGGCCAAAAGCGAGAAAAAAAGTAAGGCTAACCCCTTACATTTTTTTCAAATTTGGCCAAAAAATGAAATTTCTTGAAACTCTTTAGGAAGATGCCTCAGCGTCCCTAGAACACGTTTCCACTCCTACATTGGACAGATAGGCCCTTAAAAAGGAAATATTACGTCATCAATTTGAGGTAAAATATGTAAAATATATGAATTTTTACCCAATAATGTCACAATTTTGGCCAAAATTTAGCAAATTTCGCCGGTCTGAATATTAAATCATGCTCCCAAAGCATCCTTAAGCATTGCTGAGTAATTTGGAGAAAATTCATTTTTTGGCCAAAATCGAGAAAAAAAGTAAGGCTAACCCCTTACATTTTTTTCAAATTTGGCCAAAAAATGAAATTTGTTGAAACTCTCTAGGAAGATGCCTCAGGGTCCCTAGAACACGTTTCCACTCCTACATTGGACAGATAGGCCTTTAAAAAGGAAATATTACGTCGTCGATTTGAGGTGAAATAGGTCAAAAATATGAATTTTTACCCAGTAATGTCACAATTTTGGGCAAAATTTAGCAAATTTCGCCGGTCTGAATATTAAATCATGCTCCCAAAGCATCCTTAAGCATTCCTGAGTATTTTGGAGAAAATTCATTTTTTGGCCAAAATCGAGAAGAAAAGTAAGGCTAACCCCCTATATTGTTTTGAAATTTGGCCAAAAAATGAAATTTCTTGTAACTTGCTAGGAAGATACCTCAGGGTCCCTAGAACACGTTTCCACTCCCACATTGGACAGATAGGCCTTTAAAAAGGAAATATTACGTCCTCAATTTGCGGTGAAATAGGTCAAAAATATGAATTTTTACCCAGTAATGTCACAATTTTGGCCAAAATGTAGCAAATTTTGCCGGTCTGAATATTAAATCATGGTTCCAGAGCATCCTTAAGCATTGCTGAGTAATTCGGAGAAAATTCATTTTTTGGCCAAAAGCGAGAAAAAAAGTAAGGCTAACCCCTTACATTTTTTTTCAAATTTGGCCAAAAAATGAAATTTCTTGTAACTTGCTAGGAAGATACCTCAGGGTCCCTAGAACACGTTTCCACTCCCACATTAGACAGATAGGCCTTTAAAAAGGAAATATTACGTCCTCAATTTTAGGTGAAATAGGTCAAAAATATGAATTTTACCCAATAATGTCACAATTTTGGCCAAAATTTAGCAAATTTTGCCGGTCTGAATATTAAATCATGGTTCCAGAGCATCCTTAAGCATTGCTGAGTAATTCGGAGAAAATTCATTTTTTGGCCAAAATCGAGAAAAAAAGTAAGGCTAACCCCTTACATTTTTTTCAAATTTGGCCCAAAAATGAAATTTCTTGAAACTCTCTAGGAAGATGCCTCAGGGTCCCTAGAACACGTTTCCACTCCTACATTGGACAGAAAGGCCTTTAAAAAGGAAATATTACGTCGTCGATTTGAGGTGAAATAGGTCAAATATATGAATTTTTACCCAGTAATGTCACAATTTTGGCCAAAATTTAGCAAATTTTGCCGGTCTGAATATTAAATCATGCTCCCAAAGCATCCTTTAGCATTGCTGATTAATTTGGAGAAAATTCATTTTTTGGCAAAAATCGAAAAAAAAGTAAGTCTTACCCCTTACATTTTTTTCATATTTGGCTGCATTGGACAGATTGGGCATTGAATATTAAATCATGCTCCCAAAGCATCCTTAAGCATTTCTGAGTAATTTGGAGAAAATTCATTTTTTGGCCAAAATCGAGAAAAAAAGAAAGGCTAACCCCTTATATTTTTTTCAAATTTGGCAAAAAAATGACTTTTCTCCAAACGACGCAAAAATGACTTTTGATGCAAGGAGAGTAACATACAGTACTCAAACTGCCATTATTTCGAAGATTTGGGCACAAATAATCGATTTATTGAGAGAAAAATCATATTTTTCACTGATTTTGACCCAAATTTTCGACGCATTGTTCATGTCTAAAGGCAAATCTATCCACAAATCGAGTTGGAATGTGTTCTAGGGTCCTTTAGGCATCTTTCCTGGAGGTTTGACGCAATTTCATTTTTTTGCCAAAAATGAAAAAATTACATTTTTCATCAAATTTGGCCAAAAAATGACTTTTCTCCAAACGACGCAGAAGTGACTTTTGATGCAAGGAGAGAAATATACAGTACTCAAAACTGCCATCATTTCGAAGATTTGGGCACAAATAATCGATTTATTGAGAGAAAAATCATATTTTTTACTGATTTTGACCCAAATTTTCGACGCATTGTTCATGTCTAAGGGCACATCTGTCCACAAATCGAGTTGGAATGTGTTCTAGGGTCCTTGAGGCATCTGTCCTGGAGGTTTGGCGCAATTTCATTTTTTGGCCAAAAATGAAAAAAAATACAAGGGGTTAGCCTTACATTTTACATCAAATTTAGCCAAAAAATGACTTTTCTCCAAACGACGCAGAAATGACTTTTGATGCAAGGAGAGTAACATACAGTACTCAAACAGCCATTATTTCAAAGATTTGGGCACAAATAATCGATTTATTGAGAAAAATCATATTTTTTCACTGATTTTGACCCCAATTTTTTACGCATTGTTCATGTCTAAGGGCACATCTGTCCACAAATCGAGTTGGAATGTGTGGGTCCTTTAGGCATCTTTCCTGGAGGTTTGGCGCAATTTCATTTTTTGGCCAAAAATGAAAAAAAACTGCAAAAGGGTTAGTTAACCTTACATTTTTCATCTAATTTTGCAATCATTTCGAATATTTGGTCACAAATAATCGATTTATTGAGTAAAAAAAATTTTTTTTTCAATGATTTTGACCAATATTGTCCACACTTTCCACAGGACAGTAGCACGCTTGAAATTAAAGTGAAAAAAAACAAACAATAGACTTTCTCAATGTTACCTCACTTTTAATAACAAAAAATCACTTCTATGAAATGGACATCGATAAAGGATTTCTTCATAAGACATAATTTTCTGACGTTCTTAGAACATAGCAGTTTTGAACTACTTTTTGAGGCTAAAGAATGGCATGTACACATTAATCCTGTTTGTATAATGGTTAAATTTGAAACCATGAACATGAGGATGACGTCTTCTTGGATAATACAAAATTAAATTGAAGTTTTATCAAGTTTGTTTGGTCATTGTGACAAGATTGAAACACTATCAGTATTTTTACTCCTTCTGTATGTACTCTAACAAAGACAATTGTGCTTTTTCAAAATAATTAGAAATGCAAATAGCCTCAATCATTGCAACTGAAGCAAACTTATTCGTGGCAATTGTATAGGTGTCTGCTACCTGTATCAAGATGAAAGAATACTACAAAATATTCTAATCTCTTGAGAGTTTGACTTGAGAGTCTGTAATTTCCTTCACCTACACTTGATGTTGAAAACATGGAAAGAAAAAACTAAGAGTTACGGTACAGAACTTTTAATTTTATCACCAAATGGGATTGGGCACACTAAAACATAATTATATTCAAACACATCCAAAATTGCTGCAAGATGATCTTATTCCTCAGGCAACCTGAAATGTTCTTCAACTACACTTTATGTGGGAATATTACGAGAAAACGATACAAAAGTAATCACCACACATGGATTACATACAAAAGCATGATCACTGTATTCAAACAAATCCCACAACCAGGGGTACACACAGATGATTATACTATACGAAGATGGGCAGGATTTCGCACCGACGTTCGCAGGACGTGGAACGGTCCGAGGGCGCTGTTTACTTGCCGATGCCAATGACACCGCAAGACAGACGGCCCCCGGCATTACCGGTGGTCAAGCTCAGCTCATGGCCCCCCTTGCCTAGATCGTCAACGTCGGCGTGCACCTAAGACAAAGCAAGGAGGGTGAACAGGTTTTTTGTTATATAATAATATATTATCTGCTACACCAGGCTTACAATAGAATTTTTCTCTACAATGTGAATACCTCTTTGTATACATTGATATAATCAGGTGAAAATGAAGTCATCAAATCTCCTAAAAAGTCCATTTCATTTCATTTATTGTACTACGGCCGTCCCCGATAGCTCTTGTTCAAATAACGTCATTTCCTATGACTAGCCATCGGCTACTTTGTATTTCGAACACATTTCAAGCAACAAGCGTGCGTGTTTGGAACATTTTCAACACTGCGCAATGCGTGCTACATTGTGTAATTTATGCAGATGCAGTTCTCCTACAGAGATGGCCGTCACTGAATGAGACCTATATGTGATGGATCAAGCTAAATGAGTCGTTTGTCGGGAACTTTCATTTTGTAACAGGCCAAAATAGGCCACTTCATCACATCACTTCATCACATCTCTTGGTGTTCCGACTTCCATAATCTTTGAACTAAAGATGGTACCAGCATGCGTTTTTCACAGCAGTGATGCTGAAATTGTGCTCTTTTCAAATCTGTAAAAAAAAATTGACCAGGGTCGACAAACGACTCACTTAGCTCGATCGCATCACATATACAGTATACTCGAGTATTGAAAATGGGACAACCCAACAAAACTAGAACATACACACACGACCCTGATGTTATTTTACCCCAAAGTTGCGGTGCTTTGTCAGGTGCCACTTTTTTTGTTGAAATAATTCATTGTTCACATCCTTTTAGCTTGTTAAAGCCTGTGACAGTTATAAACACTTATTGCGAAACACTCCAGGACCCCATATCGATCACCGCATGCCAATTTTAACTGGCGCACTCTTCAAGCAACTTTTGACCAGCGCAGCACACAGTTGCAGCTGGAAGTTTCAAATATCCAAATATTTGGTCAAATGCAGTTTTTTGGTAAGCTCTTGGATAGCATTGAAAAATATTTGTATAAAGCTTTATGAAATTACATTCAACATCATTCATGCATAACAGTGACTTATTATCAAATTGTTTAGATTTTCTTTTATATAAAGGTCACCTTACAGCATTTGTGTAAAAAAAAAATCAACAAATTTAAGCCCATTTTCAGCTGGGATTATCTGAGGACTTACCACCATAGCGCGTCCAATGATGGAGTTAGGGCCAGTCAGCGTGATTATCTTATCAGTGATGTCGACGTTGACTTTGCCATCCGCGCCGGCTTCCACGTTGCCCAAATCTCCAACATGCCTGGACAAAAGTTTTATAAAAATAACACCGAATTGAACCAACGTGCCATGTGATGCCGTCATTCAAATTCTCTTACTTGGAATTCAAAACTTAAATTTTTAAAAAAATTTTTAAATTTTTTTTTACCTGACTTCATCCTCAGGAGCCCCATGGACCTTGCCGAAGGGGTTGAAGTGGGAGCCAGTGCTGGTACAGCCTAAAAAAACAAATATTATTCCATGCTAACATTTTGGTTTTTACAGGAACAAAGAATACAGTCACTGAATACTTGGTTTTATATAGAAGAAGAGGTACATTTATAAATTCTTAAGAGACTTAAAGGGAAAATACAACATTTGCAAACATCAAAAAATAAAACTACCAAATCGTTTTGAAATACCTTGCTGGACTGTTAGTGAATGACAGTGTAAAGCATCCTGTAAAATCACGGCACCTGGTATACTGTCATTTTCAAGAAAAGTGGTATTTTTGTATCAATTTCCAACGCTGATCGGCCGATCAGCGTTGGAAACAACTGGCTTTTTTTCAAATACTGGCCCCAATTGACCATCGCACTTGTTTGCAATCGATTACAAACCTATGAACGGGTACGAGCCAGCTAGACTGGTTCCCTGACCTTACAATTCCCCAATGTATGTAAACTGCTCTGTTTCTTCTTATATGGAGTCAGGGAACCAGACTACAGGAAAATGATCGTTTTTTTTTGGTTTTTATAGCATTTTCGAACCCAAAACCTCAAAAAAGTCAGTGTAACTATATCTGCTATATATTTCCAACCCCCCAATTCCATCCATTTCTGAAAATTACAGCAAAAGCAAATGATGTATATTCCCTTTAAGCGTATCCAGTAGTAGAACTTAAAAACAAATCTTGACAAGGATAAATTGCAAGTCTTGGCACAATGTAGTGAGAAACTGGTTTATGTTTTTACATGGCCTAATACTGCTCCACAGTCGAACAAGTGGTGAAAGGCAACCTCGTTCCCAGGGTGTTGAGCAGTACGCGCCCACCACTACCTGCTCTCTCACCCTGGTATTGGATCATTTGCATGTGCAAGATTTTTTAACACTTATGCAAATGAGGAATAGTCTGGTGCCTGCATGTACGTTACATTAGCGTTTGTTTTGGTATAAGGTGTCTGGGGTAAAAACAGCATCAATTTGTCGCGCCGTGAGTTAATATGATACAATCTGGCCCGCCAATATACAGTTGTTAGTTTCACATTGCATATTAATATGAGCAAATTGGAAAGGAAAGGAGTATTATTGAGAAGGTGTGGACGTTATAATTACAATGATCGTGAAAACATGTAATGCACATTGGAAATAACAACACCAACTTCACCATATAAATCCATTACAAGCAAATTGCGGTATCGAATCAGGATACAGGAAGAAAGTTTCCTATCCAGGGCTTACTATTGGAAACGAGGTTGGAAATAAAGTAAGCACTGGGGACGAGGTTGGGTGAAAGGGGAATATTGAATAGATGACAAAAGTACCTCCAGTGTAGTCCCCAAACTCATGGACATGAAATCCATGTTTGCCTGGAGTCAGTCCGGTCACCTCACCCGTCACTTTGACGCTATCACCCTGGAACAAGAAAAAAAGGGAAGGGGCAGTCAGCATGCAGTATTATTCCTAGGTAATTGTATACAATCTTAGGTAGGGTGGAACGGAAGTTGACATGGTTGAGGTAAAGATTTTAATTTTGTAATACTGAATTGGCAATATTTTATGTTGCAAGCCTAAATTGAAATGCTTTCTTTTCTTTTGAAGTACACATTTGTTGCACTTGATTGGACGGGTCCATTCAGGATACAAAACAAAAAATGCAAAACATACTCATCATGTACATGGTGTCCGAATATATGCTGCATGCATGCTTTGCCTTGCATGCTTTTGAGGTCAAGTTTACAATAAAATACTGTCTCTAAGTCTATTGTGACACCATTAAAAATTGTGTGCACAAAAAATCTAGGCCTAGGCCTATTTAAACAAATTCTGAGATGGCCTATTTTTTTATTTTTCGACAATTTTTGCCTCAAGGCTCAATACATCTTTTCTGCCACACTTGAAATGAATGACAATCTAGAGGTTTAGCCCCATAAATGTGGCCTATTTACTGGACTGCCTCCGTAAACATAGGCCACACATCCACATGTACAAAAATCGTGTCGACTTTGCCAATTTTGATTTTCACATTTAGGCTTAGTTTGTAGGTTTTTTTTGCTTTAGAAGCATACTCACCCTCTTTATAGGCTAATCATAAAGTGCTGCCTTTTTCAGATGTATATTTTTCGTGAAATTTCCAGATTCATTTTTACACGTTTGCGTATCAAAATTTCAACATGAAATTTCACAAAAACTAGACATCTGAAAAAGGCAGCACTTTCTGACTAGCCTATAAAGAGGGTGAGTATGCTTCTAAAGCAAAAAAAAACTACAAACTAAGCCTAAATGTGAAAATCAAAATTTGGCAAAGTCGACACGATTTTTGTATATGTGGATGTGTGGCCTATGTTTACGGAGGCAGTCCAGTAAATAGGCCACATTTATGGGGCTATGCCTTGCATGCTTTTGAGGTCAAGTTTACAATAACATACTGTCTGTAAGTCTATTGTGACACCATTAAAAATTATGTGCACAAAAAAAAATGGTCATGCTGCTTGCTCAGGTCTAAAAAATTCTAAGCCTAGGCTTAGTGTTTTTTTCAGTAAATGCTTCAATATTGTCCATGCTATAATTTGACATTTTAGGCAGATTATCGCATTCTGATGGCTGACAGGGGTCATTGCAGGGCAAAATTTGTGATGTTCATGTATGGAATTCTTTCCCTGCATTCTTTCCCAATTCGGACATAGGCATACCGGCCAGAATTCAATTAGGCCTACATGTTCAATTCAAGGGCAAATTTGGCGTCAAATTTCCAGCTCTAAATACAAATAAACAAACACCCAAAATCACTTACGACTTGCTCAAAAGCAAGCTTGCCGTTCACTGTCTCTCCATGAAGCATGCACACTGCCTTGACGGACATTTTGAGAGGTGAATTCAGCTACTTTGTGAGACAGAAAGTAGACAAATGAAGCTCAGTTTCTGCAGAATCACGCAAGGGAGAATAGGTGAATGAACTTTAACACGCCGCCTGCAAAGTTGTACGGAAGCTCTGTTTTCCTTCCTCCATGAAAAGTCGAATTGCTCAGACAAAAACCGACAAAGCTTAGGCAAAACATTTCCAGAAAAAAAAGAGTTTTCCACGTATCTGTACGAATATGTTTTCAAATCATCTAGATCTCCCCTGGTGAAGATATAACATTATCAACCCGGATAATCTATTACGGTTGCATCATGGTTAGTACAGGCCTCCGTGGTATGGGTAAGCGCGTTTAGCGCCCTCGTGTGGTGAAACGTGGTTCTTTGTGATGCTCGTCGTATGTGAAAGATCGATGCGGACTTCCACCGCTCGGACCCGGGTTCGAATCCCACCTGAACAATATTAACTGGATTAATGGGTAGTCAGCCCCTGACTCATTGACTAATTCCGTAGGTTTTCCTCCCACCACTTAATGTGTAGTTTCCTTCCACATCTTCTACCAAGGGATCCCGCATGCCGCGCATGGGAAAAAAGTATTCCATCATGTATACTGGCGCTTTCGGTTGGATGTTGTCGATGTCCAAATAAATATAATACAATAAATGTATTTGTCATATTTTTTCCAAAAAAGTCTTGAATATAGGCCTACATCTTCCGCATCAACTTGTACATTTTGGTGTATCCAATTTTTGTTTGCATGCTTTTCTATAAAAAAAAAAGGAAGCTATAAACACGAAACTTAAATTTAACATGTTCACGTGAAAAAAATAAAGGTCAAATAGGTATTTACACTAATATAGCCAACCCTAAGATGGAAGTTAATGCTAGGTCGCACAGATTTTGGCCGCACAGATTTTGGCCGCGAGGAACTTGGACTTAACAGACGGACGCAGACGGCTTGTTTCAAATCAATGAATGCCAGGCGGGGCCCGCGATGAGAAACGCGTTTGAGGGAACTACCCCCTCTAGTGGTCTTTCCCACCGTACACTGCAAAAACTGTAGTGTTAATTTAACACCGTTCGGTATCCATATAGGACAACACCAGTAAAAACTTAACACCAGATGGTCCTATATATAGATACCAATGGTGTACATCTAATACTGCAGTTTTTGCAGTGTATAAGTTGTAACCGTTAACCTTCGCTGGTACCCCCACCGCGCCCTGCAAACATGGGATCGGCGGGAGGGGGAGGCGTACCCAAAGTAAGTGACGTCATCCAACAAGCTTCCGGTTCCCCACGGCGGTGAACCAAACACCGGATTATCCATCATTGTGGGTGGGTGGGGGATGCCTAGTTCTTGTTGCATTCTATATCCGGAACGTGCACATGAGAAAGCGGCTGTGTAGGCTGCCATTCACGGACATTATAGTGGGAGTCCACTTTTGGGTGACTCACGATTACTCAGCTCTATCGGGTTCTGCTTCACATGTCAGCACTGTCAATGACATTATTCTTCCGTACATCCACCACGCTTTCCGCAAATTAAAAAACAACACATACATGAATACGCCTATACAGACACGTACACTCATTGGGTGTTCGAGTTCTTATAGGCCTAATTTGGCAAAATTCTCTGCACGTACTACACCCTGACCCATAAGGCAACGTCTGCGCTTCACACTTATAAGACCGTAATTTTTAAATTGTAAGACGTATAATTTTGATACTTGGTATTACATTCAAGCTACCATCAATAATTAAGAAATGTCGGCTATTATGAGTGGAAAACTCTACGATATATCGATCAGTGTGTGCTCTAGTTTCTAGGAAAGCCACTGACCAGGTCAACAAAGTTGGACTCGTCTCAGACTCGCACTGAGTTTTAATATTGACAAATATATCTTGGAACGCATGTCGTGTACTCGATTTCAAGGCATATAGGTTCATTTGCATTTATCCCAAAAGTAACCAATAGGCCTACTGAATTATTATCAAAAAGCTCACTTGGAATAAAGATCGTACTGGTAGTAAACACCCCGTGAAATGATTCCGTCTGGCTTGCTGCCATTTAGAATAAATCAAGAAATAGGTGAATTTCAACGATCAGTCGATTGATGTTTGAAATAAAGAGTGCCATGGATGGACGAGGCGTGTCTCATGATCAATTCAGGTTGTTCATTTCACTATTCATGTTTTTTTCGAAATGTGTAACATCCACTAAGCTGAAACTTCAACAGGTTAGGTTTTGAACATTCTCCTTTGGATAATTACCACAAAGGCAACCTTCCTGTTATTTTTAACAATTTCTTTTCAATTAGCAACCACACATATAATACTCGGTCCTCGAAACATATATACACTCAAGTTAAATGTAAAACCACAGCTCTCCAACACAGCATTCGCTTTCAAGGCTGCAAACTCTGGAACGGATTGCCATTATGATCTTTCATTTCTGAAGCGAAGTCTTTTAACTGTTTTCAAAACATTGTTTAGAAACTACTTGCAAGGAAATTGATTTTGTTTATTTGGTTTATTACTCCTTTAACACTCTCACAGTGTTTATATTGTACATTGTTTTATACATACATTCTTGTCTTTATTAAGTTAATGGAACGTCTTAGGTTGGGGTGTGGTAGTTGGGCGTAAAGGGAACACTTGGGATTTTCTCTCGGGGGGTGGGGGGTGGGGGTGGGGGGGTTAAAAGAGAGTGTTTCATAAGTCCTTTGACTTCTTACAACTTCCTTATAACTTCTCTGCTTTTCATTTATCTTTGTTACTTATCTTTGTCATTTACTTGTATGTTTTGTTTATCTATTAAGTTACGTACTTTATATTTTTTCATTATGAAGTTATGAAATAAAACTAGATTGATTGATTTTGAGTGGTGTTGGAAAGGAACAAAATGCATAAAAAGCAAATGATCCTATATTGCTCTAACACCAAATTATCACACGGACATCTTTAAAACAATCGCGTGTCATGGTTGAGCTCCTCTTTTTGTGGCATGGTATGAATTCGTCATAACTTTGTCAGAGGCACATAAACAGGCAAAAGTACGGCCTTGCCCCCAACGGAAACTGGGCCCAACCCGATCCCATGCAGTCACCGATATGAGGTACCGGGCCTGTGGTATCACTTCCTTCCTCTGTGCATCATGCATGCACACTGCACACCCATCAGAGTTACCACCAAGCCGTGGCCGGAACGGGCCTAGGTTATCTTAAGGCAACATGTCCCGGTTCTTTGGCATAATCGGACACTGATGTGTCTTTATGAATAGATGATCGTGTAAAACGTGTACCGACATGCAGTTTTTTTTTTTCAGGAAGACAATACTGTTCAGTTTATTTTTAGGGGTTTTCTGTTCAAATTGTGAACTCAAAAATTTGGTTCATTGACTGAACATTTGTGAGAAAAGTTTGCTCATTGGCTTACTGCCGGCCATGTGACACAACAGCGAATCACCAAAGAAAATAAACTTTACAACAGCAAAACATCCAAAATTATGGCAACTTAAATTTTGTGTTGAAACAGCTGTAACATTGAGGTTTCTGCCTGAAATAACACCACATAATTATTTGCTCACGAATATGGGAATTCGCATTAGCATATAAACCAAAAAAGGACCGAAATACCCTTGAAAATGGCAAAACGAAATTGAAAATATAAAGGCTAAATGGGAGTAAGGACACAATTAAGGTGCATTTTTAAGGATTAGATAATTACATTGCATGGGCCCTTTAAAGGCATGTCATTGTCACTCTATATATTAGTGTGATCTTATATATTGTGACTAACGACTTATTGAGTCACACAAGTCAATCACAAGAGTTCACAATTCTAAAGTCAAGTCGCAAGCTATTTTCATCACAATGAACTGTCACAAAAGACATATGTCATTGTCACTGTTCATTCCACATTAGTTGTGACCTTAACATTGCGACTTACGACTTACGATTTCAGTAACAGCTAGTCTCCACAAGTCAATCATAAGGCTTCGTAACTCCCAAGGCAAGCTAGCAATTCAAATGAATAATGGGGCAAACTAAAGACATGCCATTGTCATTGTTATTCCACATTTCTTGTGACCTTTAATTGTGACTTACGACTTATTTTGAGTTACAGCTAGTCTTCACAAGTCAATCACAAGACTTTGCAATTCTAAAGTCAAGTCGCAAGCAATTCAAATGAACTTTGACCTTTTACTTGCTACTTATTGTTTGAGTTGTGATGACACTTGACCACAACTTTGCATGCAGAAAAACAAATCAATGTTTGATTGCACAATAAAGGCGCTGTGCTGATGACGTCACACTTTGTTTACTTGTCCGCTTTTCTATGGGGCTAGGAAACCGCCATCCCTACAAAGGTTCCCATAAGAAAGCACACGTGTAAACAAAATGTGACGTCATCAGTACAAAGGCTTATTGAGTGCAACAAAGTGCGGCTGCCGGTATAAAATGTGCAGAGACCGCACTATACTCGATGTGAAATAATGGTTGACATCATCTATACTTTTCAAACGTTATTTTTAAGCTAAAGCAAATTTCGTCTAACTATTGGCGCCACAAATTACGGACCTCCACATGTTTATTGCGAGTCTTTTAGTTTGTAATTGCTTCACATGACATTTTGAAAACATTTCAGTTCTCCACAGTCATGCTATTTGTAATTATAACCTGATTATGACAGTTTTCTGTTTTGAAAGTTTCGCTTTCACTTCCTATCACGCAATGAAAGAAAACAAAACAAACTGATGTCCAAGCTTACGCACGACATATCTCAAAAATAGAAAGGTACATAAACAGCGCCAGGGCCGTAGCCAGCATGGTGGAAGGGGAAGTCGTTTTTGACATGAAGTAGACCTTTTTACCATAAAGTGGACCTTTAGTTTTAATATGTAATAAACTTTTGATTACGCATTGGAAGTGCATAATCTAGAGGAAAAGGTGGCATATTGAAGGGCGTTCCACCCCGAACACCACCCCCCCCCCCCCATGGCTACGTGCCTGAGCGCAATAACTGCAAATTCATTGCTCAATCTAAATAAAGTTCATTGTTATTTGTGACCTTAACGTAATTCCCAGTTTTCTGTTTGTAAGTTTCACTTCACTTTCTTATCACGCAATGTTCATC